GTTAAAAAAAAAAAAAAAAAAAAGATTGTATGAAATCCCAGATGACTCATTTGTTGTAGACATACTGTTACTAAAAGCAATGACAGAAAAAAAAAAACCAACAAAGCATGGCTCCAAACTTCAATAAAAAAGTGAATCATCTGACACAGTGAAAACAAACCAACTGAGCTCCCAAAGCTCCAACCTCCAATCTCTTTCACAGAGAAGCAGGAGGAGTATTTTAGTGGCAAATCTTCTCTATTTTGTACTTCTCTTGGAAAATTAATTTGACAGCTGCAGTTTGGGAATTCACCATCCCTTTGGACAAATGGATATAGTCAGGTTTACCACATCTGGAAATTCATTGTGTAATAACAGCCCACTGGGATTAAGGCACAGTAGGAATTACATGAATTGTTTTGCTGGTAGAATTGTAATAGAGCATCACTAGAAACATACAGATCAGTTTTTATTTATTCATGTTGCTTTATCACTTTGAATCACCAGCCATATACTACTACTATTCTACCATATACTCTACTTGAAAAAGTAAAAAGTAATCTTTTCCCAGATTACGGAAGGAAGAAGAAAAAGCAATTATAATAAACAAGAAAGAGACAAACTGATACAAAAAATAACGATGGTACTACTGATAAGAGAAGGTCGTAACATGCAAGCTGTTTACAGGCCCCATGATACAAAGATTCTTACCATGTACATTTAGGAATACATTATTCATTTAACAGTAGCATAAAAAGGAAAAAAGTCTTTTTTTTTTTTTTCTCTGAAACAGCTCTGCCACCATAGTAAATTCCTAACATAAGCACACCATTTGAACAGTAATGATTCCACTTCTCCCAATACTTGAAAACATTTATATTAGGAGAGGGTGCTTTAAAGTGCAATATGCACTACAGACACCCTTAGCAGATAATTCAGCTCTCTCAGACTCCACACAAATGCAAATCTCTGCTGTTAACACGATGAGAGAAATGAGGCCTCAACAGTGACAAAAAAATTGTCTCTTGAAGTTGCTTGCAATTTTCATTTCTTAAACTACATTTTCAAGAACTCCTTCTAAGTTGCATAATTTTATAGATATATTCATATATATATCTACATACACAAAACAAAGTAAGTTTTGTGTTCTTGATTACAGACCAGCCTATAATTATCAATTAACAAAAATGAACGCTTGTGTAATCTCTCCATCCATCCTAAGATAAGACAGTTATGGTGAAAAAATACATAAGCAGCAAGAGAAATTTGAAAGCTGAAGAAAAATGAAAAACCTCAGGCTGTGTAAGGCTACTGACAAAGTCATCTGGCATTTTCTGTTGTTTCTTTTTTGTCGTTTTGCTTTTTTTTTTTTTTTTTTTTTTTTTAATTTGGCCAAAGGAACTCCATGCCACTTACACTATTCCTCTTCAGTCATACCAGAAACAATACAACAGCGCCTGATTTACAAAACAGGAAACCAGAGAAGGAAATTTTGTTTTAAGGAGGCTAATACTACTACTTTCTGGCTAAATACAGCTTTTTAAAGGCACAGTCAGTGCAGGATGCATTTCCTTATTAAACACACAGCTCTTTAATTTACCTTCAATTTCCTCTGTATAAAGAGTTGACGTCATACATTGTAAAGGGCCACTTGGCTGCAGCAGCAGCAGCAAATGTATTTCAACACTGACGTGTAGGTAACAGATTAAGTTGTTTTGCAGTCTGTGCTTTGATCAAGTTCAGGGAAGGTTAATATAAACTATTTGTAACTTGTCACGCCAAAGGCTGAGTGTCTAAAGAAAGTCACAGCATGTATTCACCCTCCTCCCAGCTACAAAGATCTGTGTGATTATGGGTACACTGCACTGCTGCTCATTCACTTTACATCACATAAATAATAGACACCATCAGATGTTGTACATAGTTGGTTAACAGAATCCTATCACAGAGCAAAAAATATAATGCTCCCTATTTAAAGCTGGGCTATGAAAAATGATGATTGTTAGCAGAGGAGAACTGGCCCAAAAAGACTGCATCCCTCACGGTTACATACATTCCCTGCTTGGTTCTCATGTTGCCTTACTGCTGGCTTCTGGTTTTCTCTTAAGACATTTTTTTTGAGTTAGACTTTGCAGACTTACAGAGTTAACAAAGTCTGTAAGCTGCCTAACTGTTGTTATGGGGACTACAATAGACTTGCACTTGGTTTATTTCCTATTCAGGGTCACCTGTGCTGCACTAAAGAAATAGCTCTAATCTAAATAAAGTGAAAGCACATTTACAAGTAAGAAGAATACACCGCACTCCTATTCTGGAGCAGGCAGGTTCAGCAGGAAAGATGCCTGCAGAGCTGTGGCAGGGGGATGTGCATCCCCACACAGAAGCACCCTATCCACACACACAGCTTCTGAGTTGGGAGACTGTCTGGCAAAAATTGCCATTTTTAAAAACCACCGTGATTCCCTGCACAGATGTCTTCACTCAAAAAAATATAAACCACACCCATGAAACAACAAATATGCTCAGCAGGAGTTATCGATTTAGTTCTGCCCTACAGCAACAGCTCAGACCACAGTTATGACTGCAGAGGAATAAAAGACCAGATTTTGATCAGACAATGGACAGGCGAGGGTGAGGCTGCTTCATACAGCGTCATTTATGCATTCAAGATCTGAGGCCAGAGTCAGTACCCTGTAAACATCCTCACAAAGCTGCTGATCAGAGATCAGCATCCTCTGTCAGCTTGCCACAATGCGCTGACATTGGCCCTGTACAGTATGAATGCTTCTGTCCTTGAGAGAACTTCAGTTTTGGGCTTTCTCAGCACTGATCTGGACTTTTCATCCCCAGTCAATGCACGTTAGCTCTCTCCCTTCTTATCAAGGGCAGATGAGAACAAACCCAAACTATACTGCAGCATTCTGTTACTATTCCATTGCTTCTCACACCTAGCCAGCTGCTCTCCTTGTTCTTGTCCAGCTGCTCTAGAATCAGCCATTCAAGTTGTCCTAGAAGTCCTTCTCATCTCAAGCAAAGTTCTGATTTCAATTCCTTTCTTTTTCCCCCCCAAAAAATTATGAATTTAAGTAAAGTTCCTCCATAGCTTCAAAATAATCCATTATTTTCTTTCTAGACCTTTGTTCTGATCAAGATTCTAAATTTTTAGCTCCTCTCTGATATGCACCCATTAATGGCCTCTGTCCAACAAAGTGAGATATTAAATAGTTTTTTCCACAAACCCTTCCCCATCTTGAGAGCCACACATATGAGACCTACACATATTCAGTTATTCAGTTGACAAAATTGATGGATTGAAAGAGTCAGCCCTGTGTGGAGGAAGATAATAGTCAATGCTTTGCTGTTTTTTTCTACCTCTTTTCTTCATTCTTCCCCTCCTACTCTTCCTTTCTCATGCAAAATAGAAACTGTTTGTTTTCTTTTTCAGGCCACATTCTGTCCACAACATTGAGACCAAACAGAATTGCAGCTTTTCTCTGAATACATTCCAATTTCAGAATAGCTAATTTAACATCAAAACAAAACTCAATTCTTGCAGAAAATCACTGTGCTTGGTAAAAGGTTCTTCTAGAAAAAATGAAGGTTTGAGCAACTTCCTCCATGGAAATATAAACAAAGGCTAATGGAATGATGTCAAAAGCTATATTTTTCTTTAACTTGCTTGGAAACCACTGGTTCAGAGGGCAGACTAATAGGAAGCAGAAGCAGTGCATCAAAATTTTTGCAAAGACAGAGAGGTACTGTAGAAGCTTTCTTACGTTGCCATCAATGCTAATAATCTGACATATTTGCTGTCCTTAGAATAATACAGAGTGCAGTAGAGATCTACAGAATTACTCAGCATCAGCAATCCATAGCATCTCTAGACACACAGTTAAGCTGAACCACAAACTGATGAATACATGCTGAATACTTTCTGCAGAATTACATTTACACTGAAGTTTCCAGGTATTGAAGTGCACATTTCTGAGCCACACTTCTGCTACAATTTTTGCTTCATAGCTCAAATATCAGACACTAAATTCCCTTCTCTCCCACAGCTGTTGTCCACCAACAAAGAAAAAATAAACAAATAAATACATGAAGCAACCAGACAAAAGGATTTGTCTGACTGTCTCCATAACTGCACCACCATAAACGCAAGGGAATATGCTTTAGAGGATCTAAACTATCCTTGGACATGACCTTTGCCCAAGGAGGTTGTGGATGCCCCATCCCTGGAGGTATTCAAGGCCAGGCTGGATGTGGCTCTGGGCAGCCTGGTCTGGTGGTTGGCGACCCTGCACATAGCAGGGGGTTGGAACTGGATGGTTACTGTGGTCCTTTTCAGCCCAGGCCATTCTATGATTCTATGAGCGCATCAACAACAGAAGATTGGTGGAGTGCTACGACCTCTGCCACGAGCACACGGATCCTTACCGAGCAGAAAACCATTATCCCCCTATTACTGGTGAGACAGCAGAAACAGAGGTGATGTAACTCATGGCATAAAAATGATTCATAGCACAAGACCACTGAGTAAGCCTATTTTTTTGCAGCTCTGTATTTTCAAGTAGCTGAAACTGAAATATAAGACTTAGTGTGCTCCATCAGCATTCAGCACACCTGAATGGTTCATAATATTACAATTTATGAGAGCTTTAAATGAAACGTGATGGTGTCATTTTTGCAAACAATTCCATTAGGTATTTATTTCAATTTTCAGCAGTTCTAAGGGATTAAATGTTTTCCTGTTTGTCATCTATTCCTGTACTTCATAGATCTATGAACCAAGATTTAACTATGTAATTGCAAATAGCAAAGCAATGATAGCAGTTATAAAGTGTGTGTTTAACAGAACAAGTTGCTGTCAGAAAAAGGCAGTTCCCCACAAGTGAAAAAGCAAGAAAGCAGAAATACTGCTGCTGTGCTCCTGCGTGTCACTGGGACACCTGTAAGGGTTGTGAAGATGTTTTGTAATAAAAAGGAGAGGATGCTGTCAACAGACCAGCTGCTGCTCTTACCTTCACCCTGACTGTGACGGTAGCAAGACCTGGAGGCATAGTGCCCTTGCTGTCAAAGGCTTCCACAAGGAAGGTGAAAGTTGCATCTGTGTCAGAGAATGACTCATAATCCAAGGACTTCAGAAGAGATAACTCGCCTGTATACTTGTTCAGTGCAAAATACTCGAGTGCTTCCTGCGTCCGGATTCGATAGGTAACATTAGAACCAAGATCAACATCTTTCGCCTAGAGCATGCCATACAGAAAAAGAAAAAATACCTCAAAGCAAACAAAATCCATTTTGCAGGAACTGTAAATACATTTTGTTACCTTATTCTAACATTTAATACTACTGCGCAATAATCCACTGGAGGTTGTTAAATTAGAACATACTTGCCATGTGAAATGAGCACAGTATTCTGGGCAAGACTCAACACAGGCTTCTGTTCTTGGTCTCTTCTCTGGGCAGCCACTATTGGCCACTGCCAGGTAGAGAATGCTGCACTAAGCAGATTTTCGACCTTACTTTGTAGAGCAACATCGATGGTTTTATTTCATACCAGTATTTAGACAAAAAATATTAATTTTCATCAGGAGGAATATTATGCAATTTTTTAAGCTGTTCATTTGACTTAAAATTTACCTGCAAACAGCTTCTCATTAAGGTATGCTGACCAAAACATCAGGAGGCTCTTGCCACCTTATGGGAAATGAATCTCAGTTATATTTAGAGAAGTGGCAGAAGGATGAGTTAGAACAATTAACTCTCGCTTGATTATGTTTTTCTGTTTTTGTTTTGTATTTTTGTTTTCTTCCTATACAAACAACAAAGAGAAGACAGCACTTCAGGTGCCCCCTGCTATCTTAGATGACAAGCTTGATGTGGGGTTGATCACGCTGGAAACAACTACTCAACTCCATTAATTACAAGGGCTGCTCTGAAAATAATGCCTCCTACTTTGCTATGTTGGCACAAGAAACCAGAGGAGGATGTTGGTAGTATGGCAAGTGCTTGTTTATTGGTGGTGAAAATGCATAGCTGATGGTGGTGACTATGTTGAACAGTAGTGTGTTGTAGCTCTATCAACTAGTGTCATTGTGTGCTTTGCATCTGTTACATACAAAGAGAGAGTAGATGTGTAGGTTTATCTTAAACGTTTGAATTCATTGAGACAAAGCTCTATCTTTAACAACCTACACGAAAACCTAGAGCACTGTGATGAGTTTTCAAGGAGAAACTAAAAGCATTTAAAGCATTTTGCAAAACAATATTCCAAAACATGACAGTGGAGTGAAGACAGCATTCTTCAATTTTATAAATAATTGCTCTTATTTCCAGGAGAACCTCAACAAGTTGACATCTAAAGGTCATGAATTTTTTAGTCTAAGTATCACACCTTCCTTGATTTCAGTTTGCTTTTTTTTTTTTTTTGTCTCACTGACAAGTTAGGTAACAACATGCATAGTACTGCAGAACATTTACTAAACATTTTCTTCCATTCGGTAACACTTTCTTACCTCTATCTGCAGGAAGACAGTGCCAGGTGGTAGATTTTCAGGAACTGAGACAGTGTAGGAAGCGTTTGTAAAAACAGGGCTGTTGTCATCAATATCCAGTACCTTGATTGCTAAAGTTAGTGTTGAACGGCGAGGGTCCACAGCTCCATCTGTTGCTTCAACAATAAGTTCATAATAGTCTCGTACTTCTCTGTCCAGCTTAACTGCTGTATATATGCTGCCATTTGAAGTGATTCGAAAAAGATTCCTGAAGTTTGCCAGACTGTAATGAACTTGACCATTAACACCTGCATCCGGATCTGTAGCCTAACGAAACAGAAAAAAGTACCAAGTTTTAATGCATATTGCACATTTCTTATTATATGCTGCTATTTGGCTGTTACACGGATGCCAATCACTACAGAATCCATGCTTAGGACAAATGTAGTCAGCTAGAATGGACAGACTCATTAAAAATTTTCATTTTAATTAAGGTTTGTTAAATCTAGTGACGTTTTAATCATTGCTCTCTGAAGAACTACGTTAATTTCAACAGTTTATGTATCATGTTCTTCAAAATCAACATAATCAAATTTCACGCTCAGTCTTGCACGTGCAGAATACGCTGGTGATTGCAATAGATAAACGCTTAGATTTTATCCAGTTGGTATTTGCCCTCCTGAATGGAACTAAGCCTCAGATTTCACATCAGCTAAGCAATTCTGGTTATTGTGTAACTGCCCTGGTAAGGACGGGCACAACTCACTATTCCTAGAGGCACTGGAGCACAATTTCAATGCTGACCAGTTATTTTTCCTTCTTTTAATTAAATTAAGGCATGATGAATAGGGTCATGTAAATTTAACAAGGCCATTCTGTGAGAAAGGTATTTTCATTTGCGAGACTTTTGGAAGTGTGGCTACACACAACTGAGAAGACATGAGAATTTTATGTTTTGCTACTAAGAACAACACTTGGGAGATACCCATGAATCCGTAACTCTGGTGAAGGTGTTAATTTTCAGACATTATAATGAAGCCATTTATCTTTCTAAGAATCAATTAAAAGTTAATTAAAAGTGTTAATGAGAAAAATTCCTTCATGCTTTTTCTCTGCACTACATCAATGCACTAAGCCCTAATGGCCACAGCTTCCTAATAACCAGCCTATGGAGAGCCCTTTCAGTCAACATCTTTCAACGTACGATTGACCTACTCAGTTTACAACCTCCATGGCAATAACATGGGGCAGAAGAATCTCACAGATGACATACTGGAAAACTGTCCCAAACATGTGAGGGGAAAAAAAAAATTCAGAAGTGCTGTAACAGATGGCCCAACTTCCACAAAACCGAAGCACAGCAAACGAAGAATAAGTCACTGAGTTCCTGCATAAGAACCTCCTGGATGCAGCTGGGGCATCTCCAACCTCTCCTCACAGTGACCTCAGCCTTACTGCCACTACTTGCACACAGGAACTTAGTGCACATATACATTTCATAGTCAGGTTCATGTCTTTGCAGAATCAAAACTTTTGCTAAGAAAAAGCTGTAAAAAAAGGCTATTGTTTGCCCAGATTAGATTGCTTGTAGAGTGTAAGATCTTCATTAACTGTCATTTTATCACTACAAACTTAAGAAGTGATAATGTACCCATTGCAGACATAAAAGCTTAGACTATTTTCTAAAAGAATGACATCTCAAGGATGGACTTCCACATGAAAATCACTTTCTGGAGCCTCTGAGAACCTGTGGGAGCAGCTCCCTGGAGAAATCCTTGAAGGAGTCAACGGCAGCACAGTGCTGCCTGCTCCTGTCTGCAGATACTGTTTTATGTCTAAATGGATGAGTTCAGTCATCCCACCCTCATCCCTGTGCTCAGTGTTACCACAGAATAGCTCCATTACCAGCTGGTCCCAGCTGAGGAGGTATCACAAGCCCTGACCATAAGAGAAGTGAGGAGGAGGTCCACAGACCAAGCAGCCAGGCTTTTCTAAGTCCTGCCTTAAACACTGACCCTGCTTGAACTAATCTGTACCCACAAAAGAAAAACTTAGCAGCACCCTAATGGATTTAATACGTGTTCATTATCTCAGTACACAATCAACAGAGCAGAAGAGCAGTAAAAGACCATTTCATTTGTATATTACTGAAGTCCCAAGGAAAGTTTCAAAGACAAAACCAAACAAACCAAGCAAAGCAGTGAGACCACTCCTATGTCCAGTGTAACACTTGATCACTTTCAAGCACACACAACACAGACCTGGTAAATCTAGACAGGAAACAGAGCTCATTTTGCTATTTTTCCTCTGCTCTTCTTCAAAGTGGTTCAAGGCAGACATACCACACTAGTGTCAAACAGCTGGAGGTTCGAATTCCCTCAAGTCTCCCAACCAGAAGGGATGCTATTGGGATGGAGCAGCTTCTTTAGAAAGGTCTAAGGTAATTCACTTTTGTGAGCGCACCTGTGAGTTACTTAGAAAAAGAAAACAGTGATATCTGTCTCCTCTTGTCAATGCTTGTGACAAGAGATGCAAGAAGACAAGACACATTCTCCTTCCTATCTCATTATGCATGTTGAGAGACAGGAAAAGCATGCTCCTCTAAAGACTCTCAACTTCCGCTGTCATTGTAGAAACTCTCCAGATGTACATGACTTCTCTCATTTCCATCTTTCACAGAAAGAGCTTGCAAAGTACTACATAGTAAAACAAACCTGCATAAGCCACATAATAGCCTATATCTACTGAGGCAAGTCTGAATTTGCATTACCAACTGCACTTCAGTATTACTGAGACAATCTCACAAATGTGAACCAACAGTAACAAATTATCTTCCTTCAACACAGCTTGAAAATAAAACACTAAATACAAACTACGTTCCAAAAGCTTGAAAATACAATTCTGGGAGACCTGAATATCGCTTAAAGGATCATTAGCTCTGAAATATAATGACAAATGTTTAAACGTCAACAATATTAATTATATCATTATTATTCTTTTCAAAGAAACCTCCTACCAATATCCACAGTTCTTGCTCATGATGGGCAACAATGGAATTTAAGGAGGTTAATTGAGGATTTACATTCAAATTGCTGGAGCTGGAAAACAGCAAAATAAGGCAGAGTTGTCATTTGATACTTGTCTGTATAGTTCAGCCAAACATGGCAGGTTATCCCCTCATTAATGCTGAATCACTTCTTTGGAACCACTCTTCTAACGACACTCCCCGTTTAGTATTTCCTGCAGTTCTTCAGAGACAGATGTTCCCCATCATCCATCCCCACCCCAGCAAGACCTCTGTTTCTCTGAAAGCCTCTCTAGCATTCCAGCTAATACCACAGCTCCAGGAGGGATGGAAATTGTGCGGGAGGATGCAAAGGATGCTGTCAGTGGGAGTTGGCCAATTGTTTGCAGGGAAGAAAACGGGATTCTTTTTTATTATTACGGGTTTAAAAGACACCCAAGCCCCTCCATTGTGTCAAATGGCAAACCAAATGTGAGTGGGAGTGCTAAATTGGATCTTGCACTTTCTTTTTAAGGGAGATTAGTGTTTGTGCACATAGGACAAAACTAACATCACCCAGATGCAGCAAGAGGCTACAGCTATTGGAAAAATTTCTGGCTCAGTATTTACTTAAGAATATCTTAAGTAGGGAAAATCAGGTAATTCTAGAAAGGTCAGCATTTTTCTTCTTGTATTTCAGAAAATCTTTCATTTCTTTTTGCCTGCTTTTACACTCTTCAGTTTTCCTATTTCATTAAGTGCTCAAAGCAAATGAAAAGACTGGAATGTATGAAGAGCTTGTAAAGATTTCTGTCAGCTAAACTCCCGATAATGTCAAAAGAAGGAATCACAGAACCACTTCTGTCCTCCCAGTTTTTTTCTCACACACTGCTCTCTTTCTGCAAGCAATTAGATTAATTAATTGTGCTTCTAAACATACAAGGTGTCACTGTGTGCCCATTCCAGATTGCTGTAATATTTCCTCACAGTCTTAAACCAACAAGAGCTCATTTCTGTGGACTTTTCTAGAAAACTGATATTTAAATGATTTTATGAAGAAAGATGATGTAAAGAATATACAATAATATTGGATGTTGTAATATCAGGGGGCAAGTTCAGTGGTTTGTCAGTGGCTGCAACGGTCCAGTTGGGTCTAGCTAGTCTAAAATAAAAAGGAAAGAAGCAAAATGAAACTCATAGGAATTATCTTCAAATTTTCACAACCTTGAAATTTGAAGACAGCCCTTCCCTTCTTTAAAAGAACAAACTATTGCCACCTTCACATCTTAAATACTTTTGAAAAACACTAGAGGAGTTGGGTATATCCTCCAGGAACCTTCCCACAAAAACGAAAATTACTGGGCTATGCATTACCAGTTTATCATTTTTTCCTAACTCTAAGGGCTTCAAACTGGAAGAGGGCAGATTTAGACTAGAAATTCTTTACTGTAAGGGTGGTGAGACACTGGAACAGGTTGCCCAGTGAGGCTGTGGATGCCCCCTTCCTGGAAGCATTCAAGTCCAGCCTGGATGGGGCTGTGAGCAACCTGGTCTGGTGAGAGGTGTCCCTGCCTATAGCAGGGGGATGGAACTACATGATCTTAAAGGTCCCTTCCAACCCAAACCATACCATGATTTCATTCTACTTAGAGCAATTTGTAAAGACATCACACTATACATTTTCTAATATTGGCAGATTTTAGCCCTTACACAAAATGGGAGAGCCTTTGATAATTACTTTCATAGCTGATGTTAATTTCAGTCCATCTGGATGGTGATTTTGGAAATCAATTAAATGTGACTCTAAATAAAACTAAATAAGAATAGTAAAACACTGCAAGCAAATATAAATTAAATGAAATTCAGAAAGCCCATAGCTGCAAAAGCATGATTTAATGGAGTGGTGAGCCACCTACGAAACTTAATCACATCGTAACACTCAAAAATAGACAAGTTTCATTTAGGCTGGCACAAAACCAACTCCTAAATTTAGAGGCTCACTCTGCCTGTTTTTACTTGAAAGATGTGTAGAAATTCTGCTTTTATGAGGAGTATGCAATTTGACAATGATACAATCAAGCAGTTCAGAGATTCATCAATGAATGTGCACAGTAAAAAAAACAAAACCCAGAAGCTTATAATCCACAGATGAAACGTATTGTTTAAAATCTCCACATTGAAATGGGCTCCCGTAGATTTCTTTAATGGGTTAGTCTGCTATAAAGTTATTTTTGCCATTTTCTCCTGAGTGCTGGCTCTCTTCATAAGGCCACCTAATTAGAGAACTTCAGATCTGAGCTGGATCATAGCAGCCAATGTTTGG